GGACCCCGCTCAAAGGCCCGCGCGTGAGCCCGTGCGTGCTTCAAGGGACTGCGCCGCCGTCGGGGCCTCCGGGCAGCGTGGCCGATGGCCGGCGCTTTAGGGGAGTGCTCGGTGACCCAACTGGCGGAAAGAGAGCCGACGAACGGCGATTTAGATGCCGTGTGTCGTCAGTGAGCTCGCTTGTGTTGGACTACCAAGTAGTGTCTATCGTGTAAAGATTTCAAGTACTTGGGTGCGTGAAGCGGGCATGGTCAGCCGGCTGATAGCCGGTCTATGTAATGACCTTATCATTGACTGAGTTGTGTGACAGGAGATCCTCGTCCTTGCCCACGGCGAGGCCGCTGGCGGTCACATTCGTCCTCCCGCTCTCGCCCGTGCCTCCGTTCTGCCACACTTAGGCAACTCAGGTTACACGACCAAACCTCAAGCAGTGCATCAGAAACTCTGTCCAGATGCGCGAAACATCACGCGATGGGTGCTTCATCTCCCACACGGCCACCTCTCGACGTGCGCCGTCCCCCGCGGGCGGACACCTGTTGTGCGCGCGCGTCGGCCCGGAGCCAAGCGGCCAGTTCCAACGGCCGTCAATAGGTGGCAGCGCCGACGCCGAATTAATGTCCGGTGCCGGCCGCTGGCGACGGCCCAGCGCAGCGTCCCCCAGCCACCGAGGGCCGTATTGATTAGATGGCGAGGCAATTAACGCGGACAGGTGATGAAATTGTGGAGAGCTCGACAGAGAGCGAGTCGTGTCCGCGTGTCCGAGCGGACAGGGAGTGGCCGCGGTGCTGCCGTGCCACGTGCTGTCTCAACCTGAATGCTGGTGCTCCACGTGGAGTTCTGCGGCGCTATTTGAGTCCGCTGCAAGCTCACTGCGTTGCCACTGGTATAACGCATGTGTGAGCATGTCACATGTCATCCATTTCGGCGGCTGGGTCATGGCGAGGACATCACACAGTCATGTCAAAGTGGCTTCTGGGTGTACAAAGAGAGACCACACAGGTTTGCTTTGGCGTTACCGCTTCATGAAGAGTTTCCACAACGCTCTTCATCCAAATGTATCTTGTCTACCACTTTGTGGCCAGGTGCAGCGCTCACTGACACTGACGTTGATAGGATTGCACGGTTTCTCATGCATGACTTGTGTCTAATGTTCGTTTGCATAAACATTGGTGGATGATCTTTCCCTCGGCCACCTCCTTCAGACTCCAGCTCAGGTTGCGCCGGCGACTGTCCTGACTACATAACGCCGTTGGTCGTCACAGTCCGGCGTCACTCCTACAACGCTCGTAGGCCACTAATCTTGGCAATCATTCCTGTATTGCTTCTCTCGCTTCCTACTACGCTTCATCACCCTGTAGTGCTCGAGCCGACAGCTGTTCTGCATGCGCGGAAGGGCCATGTCCTTGGAATAATCATTCCAAGTGAGTGAATAGCAACATATGTGGACAAGGGCTATCACCACAATTTTGAGAACCGTCCACCTTGACAAACCTTGCAGCAGGTGTTATCCTGGCAAATGGTGGCACAGATCCCCATCATCAGCTGACCTCGATGGCCGTACGTCAGTCGCTGGAAACGGACTACCGAGCGCTATCGTGTCTTCATTTCTGGCATCACGCGATCGATTTAATTTAGGTCGATCCGCGACGTTTCCGCCATCGATCAGAATGAGCGATAGATGGGGTCTTCTGCGCTTCCTCTTGACATTTATGATTGATGACGTCTTGAGCTGCATGTGGGGGCTTCTCCGACGTGGCGATCTCAACAGGGAGCTTACGTGAGGCTATTGGCGGCGTGGGGGCTTACGATTGGCCAGAGCGAAGCCCTAGAGCGTCGGTAGGGAGAGCGGAGGGGGGTGTCTGCTAACGGCGCATGCAGCTGCGCTGGCTGGAGAGCACAGAGGTGGTGTCCGGACCACCAGTTGTTGTTGGCAGAGCGGCTATTCCACGTCGGGGAACAGAGGCGGCCACTGATCACCTCGACCCGCCGACAGCCGGGCACGCACTGAAAACAAACACCGGCCACCAGCGGCCCTGGTCAGTGGACGCCGGCGTCACTGGGCGCTGCCAACACACACCACACGCGACTGCCGGGCTCAGCTGGTCCACAGCTGACCAGGACAGCCGCCGGGCTCAGCTGGTCCACAACTGACTGGACCAGTCGCCGGGCTCAGCCGGTTCACAGCTGGCTGGAGCAGCCGCCGGGCTCAGCTCGTCTGCAGCTGGCTGGAGCAGCCGCCGGGCTCAGCTCGTCTGCAGCTGGCTGGAGCAGCCGCCGGGCTCAGCTCGTCTGCAGCTGGCTGGAGCAGCCGCCGGGCTCAGCTCGTCTGCAGCTGGTGGAGCAGCCCGGGCTCAGCTCGTCTGCAGTGGCTGGAGCAGCCGCCGGGCTCAGCTCGTGCAGCTGGCTGGAGCAGCCGCCGGGCTCAGCTCGTCTGCAGCTGGCTAGAGCAGCCGCCGGGCTTAGCTCGTCTGCAGCTAGCTGGAGCAGTCGCCGCGGCCCGGTTGTCGTCCCGCTTGACCAAGCATTGGATTGAGTTTACGCAGGGTGTACTGAGTCTATTTTTTCATGCAACTGGTTTGACGCATCTCCCCTCCCCTCCCCCTCGCGATTATGACGCTGCTGGTGACTCCCACCGACAGCGCAGCGATCTGTGGTGACGTCAGACAAACACAACGGTCGTCCTCCTTTGCCGCAGGTCCCCGCGAGGAGCACCTTCCTGAGCGGCAGCCGCACCGTCGTCTCCAGCGAGATGGCCGGCCGGTCATCCCAAGCTGTCGTGAGCGGCCGCGGAGTGCAGAGGAGGGAGCGGCCCACCGCGGCGCTCTCTCCTGCCGTGACCCGGCTGGGACGCTCGGCGCGGCCCTAGAGTGACACGAGAACGCTCCGCGCGGCGATAGTGTTCGGGCACGCGACAGCGGCCGACCCGGAGATGATGACGGGCAAACAAGCCAGCTCATTTGCGTCGGTGGGTAGCGTGATGGTGCAGCGATGACGGTGGGGGGCGGGGGAGGGGGGCATTTGGGGCGTCGAAGGGTGCACGTGCTGAAGGGAAGTCGTGCTTGTGAGTGTGAGGGCATGCTGCTGGCGGCGTTCGGACTGTCCTGGTTAATCAAGACGTGTTACTTTGAGCTCGTCATATGAGTTGAGCGCTGGAGGACATGTGTCGCTGCAGCGTTGCTGTGTGTTGTTTTGGTTACTGCGTTCTTTCGGGTGCGTGGAGGGAAGCGGACGTGTGCAAACGTTTTCAAGTCATAGTTGAGCGAGCATTGGAGCCGCATCACTCCTTCTGTCGGGACCGGAGGGACCAATGGAGTGCCTTCGCTCTGCCGTCACCGCCCGGTGCGTCTGTCCAGACGTCATCGATCTGCCGTCACCGCCCGGTGCGTCTGTCCAGACGTCATCGATCTGCCGTCACCGCCCAGTACGTCTGTCCAGACGTCATCGCTCTGCCGTCACCGCCCCGTCACCGCCCAGTGCGTCTATCCAGACGTCGTCGCTTTGCTGTCACCGCCCAGTGTGTCTGCCTAAGACGTCATGAAGCGCTGTTGCACCTCCTCCATCCACTTTTAGAGACTCGCCGGATCTTATGACTACGGCTCGGCGTGCCAGAGCCGGATATGCAGTCGATGATGAGTGCGTTTGGATCGAAGACGCCGCCTTCTGGGTTACTGTAACGGTAGTGCCAACTGTGCGATGGAAACGTGCTGAGTAGGGGATGCTGAGTAGGGGATGAGATCATCCCTCATCCCTATGCTGAGTAGGGGATGAGACGACAACGTGCGATCACCCCCGTGCTGAGAGGGGGATGAAACGACAGCGTGCGCTCATCCCTGTGCTGAGCAGGGGATGAGATGACAGTGTGCGCTCGCTCCTTTGCTGAGTGGGGGATGAGATGATAACATGCGCTCATCCCTGTGCTGAGTTGGGGATGAGATGGAAATGTGCGCTCACCGTCGTACTTTTCACATAATTCAGTATAGATGTTCGTTTTCTTGTATCATATGGTGTAGGCAGCATTACTACAGCATTTATTGTGATATTCTCCCATTGCATGCAATCAAAACAGACCACCTGTGCGATGTCCGGTGGTGCCTTCGGGCACGCTCCCAGCGGCCTAACAGCTGACCACCATAGCATGTGCTGTCCACTGCCCAGCGACCTTAGCTTCGTATCTCCTCTGCTCAATGCGCGATATTGTATGTTTGGATGTTTCACTAGATTTGTCCGCGGCCTTTGGCACTGCGATTTTCAACGTCTGGTAAAATGGAGCTGGATTCTAGCCTTGCTTCGTCACACTTAGAAAATGCTTCCAGAAAAAATATAAAATTGCTAAGGATTCACACACGGCTCGCGAGGATTGACAAGAACACTGCCTTGTGGCTTACGTCACACGAATGTGCAATGCTGGCAGGTGTGATTGTACAGTGTACAGTGGGCCCGGATGCATGAGCGCGTGTGTGGCGACGCACGGCACCCAGCTCTCATTTAGACGTGGTCTGGACGCCGCACAAGGAGTCTATCCTGGAGAGCGACGCTCAGACGTGTGCCCGAGTCCCCGAGGCGAATATACTACATTTATCTTACTGTGATTGTCGCCGCACGACTTCGTGCCGCCAAGAAAGAGGTGGGATCGATGGCTTCAGTCCGCCGTGTCAAGGGATCAAGACGTCCAACCTTCCGCTGCTTTACGTCGCGCGTCTGTCTACGATGGACCTCGGGCTGTAACAGCCATGGGGGAGGGGGAGGGGGCGCAGAAGCTTTTGAAGCCATCAAATTATCATGCTTTGAAACAAAAAGCTTGTGTCGAGGTGCAAATTTCTTCGCTTGTTTTGAATTTGCCATGACCAAAGGCTGCGAACAAGTGGACAACTGATGCATACAAAACAGAAAGACGCATCTTTTAAGCCCAGTATGCATGATGATGCATACTTGGCCAACACCCGCTTGGACTTTCCATCTTAAGCACAGTGGGGAAAAAGCTGGGCGTCGATTGTTTCTGGAAGCTGTTATTCTAATTCAAATAGATGTTACGGATGTGCACTTTTTCCAAACCATGCTCGTGCATCTTTCTCGAATACGTAAATCCGTTAAAAAATTCATTGATGCAGATTGTTTGAATCGACTTACCTTCTCACCGGTGGTCCGCATGCAAACAGTAGTTCCCGTGCGTCCCAAATTTTTGGAGCACGTAGCGGCCACGATAGTTCTCAACAGAGGACATCACCGGTTGAGTAAACCCATGTATTCCAATATGGGGTGGGTAACTGGGCGGGTTGGGTTTTATTTTTGTATTACTGGTATGGGTAAGATGTTTACATCGCCTCCAGGAAGTTAAAGAAATACTACACAGTGTTACTGCTTGTGCTTTTGCTTCTCAGTATAAGCGCTGCTGTTACGGTCATCTAATGCCCGGAAATAGGGAGGATTTAAATTTTCCCGAAATTGTCTAATCTTAGAACTTTTGCGCTGAAAAATGCAAATGGGATGGTAACCGATGGGCACAGCTGATGCTGAATCGGCAGCGGGCCGGTATGGGTGCACCCCAACGGGTAGCGGATGAAGTGACTGAAGAAAATCTTGCCCACGAAGGCCTCTAGTTCCAAACTACAGGCAGATGCTGACTTAAGATGATGCGGTGATGGCGAATTACCTCTTAAAAGCATTGCGTATGAGCAGTTAATGTAAAACACTGGTGCTTGCCATTTTGCAACGAGTAAGTGGGCCTGAATGTCCGACTTATCTGCCCACTGTACAGATCGCGTGGGAAGAGTTCAGCAGCCGCATAAACTGCGCCTCACGATAGGCCGCGCCGCATGGCCTGCCAAGTATCCGGCACAACATACCCTCGCAGGCGGGAGCTGGATGTCGAGTAAGATGCGGCACCAAGATTTAGCGATGACTGCAGCCTTCGGGCAGGGACGTTACGGTGTTTTCAGATAGCTACGGCGTGTTAAATCAATATTCAAACAAGCGCACTGCCGTTAGCCATGGCGTGTTAAATCAATATTAAAACAAGCGCACTGCCGTTAGCCATGGCGTGTTAAATCAATATTAAAACAAGCGTACTGCCGTTAGCCATGGCGTGTTAAATCAATATTAAAACAGGCGCCTTGTTGTAGCAGTAGATTTATGAGTAGTGGAATAGATATTTACATAAGTGTGGAAGAATCCTTTGCCCTTTATTGCTATAACCCTGTTTACATGGACAGCCGAGGGTAATTCGAATTAGGATTGGAACGGATCATGCGACGTTAAACCCCTCGCCAAGGTGCGTTTACATGGGCAAGACTGGCTTTACGTGGGAGTAGCGGTCGGTAGTTCGATTCCGCTTAGTTCGAATCAATGGCGGATTGTGGGCGAAAACTGCGCTTTCGAGACGGACTGTGCTGCCGGTATTTTGCCTATGGATTGCGAATGTAAAGAGTCATGATGGTCTCGAGACGCCCCTGAGGGCGCCAGGAAGAAGATGGATTCCGTTGGAAAAACGATCTGTACGGGACTCATAGGCTAATAGCCACAGCATAAGCCATAGTACTTAAAGCACCAAAGTTTCCTAGTCAGCATTGCCAAATCTGTGTCATAGTTATAGTCTTATATGACAATTTTAATTGTAGACACAGTACATGCACACATTGTGCGTTGCAAAAATTGAGATTACGGAAATTTGCACAAAACAGGAAGAGCTGATTTATATATATTCCAGCATATATTTCTGCTAGAAACATTTTCTTTCACCACAGGTACATGATCAGAAATGGCAAGGAAGTGAGCTGTTGAATAAAACTATAAGCCACTTCATAACAATGGCAGAGATGACGTTAAACTAACATGTGCTAGATCATCCACACATGGCGATAGCTCCAAAAAGAGCAAGCAAGGCTACTGCTTCCCATTCTGCAATGTATATCATGGCTTGCTGTTCCGACTGGTATTACTGAGAATGACATTTAAGGTACACCTGAAGCCTGTGGCACATTAATATTTGCTGTCATGCAAAGGCTAGCAGGAAATGGTCATTTTCTTGTATAGGCCAAACACACTCACAAACTAACCACACTCTGATCAGATGGGCCACCCAGCATCATGTCACATACTTTCGCCCAGCCTCAGAAACATATCAGCTACTCTCACACCAACGCATTTATGAGCAGTTCGCAACAATGAGCTAAGCTACTGAAATGAATCCTGAATGCTACATAGTTAACAGCAAAAATTGTGCAATTATGCTGTCTATCCC